TCCATTTCTGGCATTCGTTAAGTTATAGCCCATAATTTTATGAAAAATAGGTCACGTGATGGCTTAGCCGCAAAGGGCCTATTACGAATTCTTCACACAGCTGTTCCTTTTCCATGATTCATTGTATACATTGTCATACGTTGATTGCAGAAGTCCACATGTACTTTGGTTGATTCTTGTCTAAGATGATATTTATTTTCCCTGTTCTATCGGACAGATTATAAACTCGAGATTTCTATGAGATGACTTCATGGTTTTAATAACAAAATAAGTCGAGCCCGGATTGATTTTTTTTTTCTTTTTTGAAACCTGCAGCTCTTTACGCGCGATCTTCGCGGTTGCTGAAAACATTTTGAGGTTTCAAAGTCGCATAACGGTCAATTCTCTTCCTTTTTCTAATGTTCGTGGGAATAATCTTATCATTCAAACATCAGAGAAAAGAGACAAAGTCCACGCAGACTATGAGAGCGACCTGATCAGCCATTGCAGACTAATGACTGATTATTAAGTGCAAGTTTACCGTTTTTATTTTTTTCTATGGAACCACTCTGCGTTATTTCGCAATTCAGTCGGTAATATACGATGTGTTTTTCCGCCCTATTGGCCAGTGACGCGTAAACAGGTAATAAACAGGTTTCTGGCATGATATGACGCTGCAAGAAAATCTGACAGATTGACAAATTATTACACGTCGCAAATTCCAAAAGTTTTTAAGTAAAATGATGCTCGATTTTTTAAAAAAATTATTAAAAGAACATGCAACCTTAAATCTGAGGAATTCAGGATTGCTTTAAATATTGTTTAGTATCCTTAGATTGCCGGCCTCGGGTACTGTACGTGCAGCGTAGAAGTAGAAGATTATTATTAATATTATCAAAGCTTTATTAGACGTAATATTATTATTAGCTCCGTTACTAAATATAAGTAAATTTGGCTTTTGCTATATTGAAGTTTGGAGTTCATTAGAACTCTGCGAGGAAGTCATAACAGCGTGTAAAACTCAAGAGTGGTCTGAAACCGACAAAAATACGTACGTGCTGTCTTTGTTGTAACGTTTATAAACGGATTTAAACTTTGATACCCTTGCCTACTCAAACCATTTTCGTTCAGTATTTACGCGAAATAGAGGGACGCATCTATCGACATACGCATTAGCCAATTGCAACGGGAAGTTAACTTTTTTCAAGGAAACAAATATATTCATGATATACGACTGTTTCTAGAAATTGCTTGAAATGGGGAGTTGTGAATTTTAAATCAATAGCACTAACCTGGGAAACCTAGTTTGTGGAGTCCTTGATCTTTCACACTAAAGAAATTTAACCAAAGCTCTTCTTTTGAGATATTAGCAGCACAAACCAACGAAGCAAATGAATTTCGTTCCAAATAAGGGGACTATTAAAGCTAAATATTACGTCAGCTTTGGAAATGTTGTATCGAAAGTACTTTCACTTTGTCTTGATTAACATACGTCACTCATCAATAAACCCCCACAAAAGTTAAGTGCATTCTGTAGCTTTGTGTTGTATTTTTATGATTGTTCTTCCCTTTCAGCCTCGTGATCGATCTATGTATTCTCCTTCTCGATATCCACACATTTCGTTTAATGTCAGTTCTGAGAACTTGGTTATTGCTGAAGACCATGAATACTTTTTGTTCCCGTCACTCGTACCTACTGTCTATTAAACTGAAGTAACAAAGTAGATGTGATCATTCTTGTTAATTGAATTTGAAAGATTAATAGTCTTACCGATTCACTGACATTTGGCAACGTATGCTCCAGAGAATGCCTTGGTCTTATCAAATTTTTTATGAGATATTAACTTAGCGAACTGTATCAGGTCGACATCTGAAATATCAGCTGACTTAGCAGTAGTAATAGCTGGTTTTCACATGACGTCACTAAAATTCAAACAACAAAACTATTGATCTTCCCGAGATTTTACTTCAGTGATGTATAAGAGCAGCTGAAAAATAATATTCATGCAAATTTTCGCTCCGAATGGGTTCTTGGTTTTGTGATAGACTACGCTTGAATTTCTAAGCTTTTGCGTGA